TTGATTTGATTTGATTTGATTTGATTTGATTTGATTTGATTTGATTGATTGATTATGTGCCATCAAGTCAGTGTTGACTCTTAGTAACCATGTAGATGGATTTTCTCCAGGAGGATCTGTCCCCAACCTGGTTCTTCAGATCTTCCAACAGTGCCCCCATCACCTCTGCAACTGTATCATCCTCCTCTTCTTCTTTTCCTTCCATCTTTCCCAGCATTAGAGCCTTCTCCAGAGAGCTGGGTCTTCGCATAAGATGTCCGAAGTCAGATAAGTTGAGCCTGGTCATTGGTCCCTTGAGACACAGCTGGGCAGCCTTATAAATGTAATAAAGTAAATAAATAAATGGCCAAAGTCAAGTAGAGGAGCCAACGGGACACAGGTACTCCTGGATTCAAACTATCATCAGTCTCATTTCTCCCCAAGCTTAATCTGCTTTTATTAACTTTGCCAGCCAGGTATTTTTAGAAACTTTTCTGCAGCGGGCAGGGGCAAAGTGTCCATTTACCCACTGAACCACAATTTTCACATTGGCTGGTCAATCCTGTCACTTCCTTCCCGTGTCTCTTCCTTCCTAATCCATTTTTCTTCCCCATTTCAATTCTTCCTTTGCGTACAAGTTGATGGCTGTTTCTTTTCCTTCTAAATGTCCCCCCAAATGTAAGCGGCCCTCCACAAAGAGGTACTTTCAAGGAAGTACAATTCTATTTTCATTTCAAAATAAACATGTTCTCTCCAAGGAAGTGAACTCCTGCCTTCTCAGTAATAGAGCATCGAGCAAGGTTTGTAAGCCTGTGTTGCCCTGACTTGTTCCTAAATATTGCAGTCCTGTTGGATGAACTATTGTGGCTTATTTTAAAGAAAACAGGGATAAAGAAACTGTGGTTTAGGGTGGTACAGGCATCCAGCCACAATCATATTGTCCTGAACCTCAGGGTCTAAAAAGATCAATCCCAACTCCTGAAAGTGTGCGCCGTACGATCACATTGCTGTGCAAATGAGCAATGCACTTTCTCGGCACCGAAGGCTGTGTTGAAGCCACGCCGGGTGCTGCCTTGTCACGACTCCCTTCAGCAGCACATCTGTCATGCTAATTAGCAGCACGTCGCTTGGAAAAGCGGCCCGTCCCTCTTTCTGCTCACCCCCAGTCCAGATGTTACGGATGAAGGATTCGTGGTGGCGGATTCTGGTGGCTGCAGTACCCTTGTTAAGACAGATGCAGTAAATCCCAAGGTAGCTGCCAAGCCAGGTTTTTCCAAGGCAGTCCAGACAGGAAGGCAGTGGGGATAGATGGCTGTAACGGGCTGTGAGAATAACCTTGGGAGACAGGAGGAAGAGCTGCAGCCAGGGCAACGGTCGGATAAGAGGCAGCTGAGCCCTCGGAAGGAATGGGGCGGTGGAAAGCATCTCGGAAGGGACCCTCCCTAGTTCTCAGGAAAGGAGGAGAGGAGAGGAGAGGAGAGGAGAGGAGAGGAGAGGAGAGGAGAGAAACGCTTTCAGGCTTGCAAGATTCTGTTACTGGAACCTTACAATAAAGGTAGTCTTAGTACTCATGGCTTCGGTTTCTTGTCTGCACTACCTCAAAGGGCTGACAACAGCTACTTTTTTTTCTTTTCCACAAGAGAGCTCAAAAATGTGGAAGTAACCTCTAAGGCAGTTTTTGGGTGCATGTCTAAAGCGCAAGTCTTTCCTCGGTGGACAGACCTCTCCAGGACGTCTGTGTTGGCGGGGGTG